CTGCTTAGTGCCTTGCTTTTGCTGAGGCTGGCTTTGAACTTGTGATCCTCCTGCCTCAGCTTCCCGAGCTACTGGCATTACAGGAGTGTGCCACCACACCCAGCTTCATGCTTGTGTATTCTAAGAAAGCATTGCTAATCCTCACGTCATAAAGATATTTTTAAAGAAGTTTATCATTGTAGCTTCTATATGCAGGTCTTTTGTTTCAGTTAATTTCTGTTTATTAAGCAAGTTAAGGATCAAAGTTTATGTCTCCCTTATGGATATCCAGTTCCAATACCATTTGTTGAAAAGATTCTATCCCCTATTGATTATCTTGACATCTTTGTTGAAAATAGATTGTCCAGATATGTGTAGATTATTTCTGTGCTCCTTATTTTGTTCCATTGACCGTACGTCTGTCCCTGCACTAATCCCATACTGTCCTGATTAATGAGTCTGTAGAATAAATTACAGTCAGGTAATAGAAGCCCTTCAACTTTTTATTTTTTTCAAATTTGCTTTGGCTATCCTAAGATGTTTACACTTCCAAAAAAATATTAGAATTGGCTTGTCATTATTGATGGAAAAAATCTTTTGGGATTTTTGACTGAKATTTCATTGAATCCATATTATTGAGTTGAGAGAACTGGTATCTTAGTAATGAGTCTTCTGATTCATGATCAGGGCTTAACCCTCTATTTATTTAGGTTAAATTTCTCTCAGCATTGATATATAGTTTCAAGTGTGCAGCTCTTSAAGATATCTTGTTAAATATATCCCAAAGTATTTCATATTTTTACATGTGAATTGTTTTCTTAATTTTATTTTATTTATTCATTCATTCATTTGTTCATTGTTCAGTGCTAGGGATCAAGCCTGGAGCCTTGCATATGCTAGGCAGGTGCTATACTACTAAGCTACACCTCCTTGATTTAATTTTAACTTAATTTAATTGTAAATTAATTTTAAAATTAAAATTTAATTTTAAAAGTTTCGTTTTTTGTAGTTGTAGATGGAMAGAATGCCTTTATTTTATTTGAGACAAGATCTTGCTAAGTTGCCCAGTGGTACTGAGGATCAAACCCAGTGCCTCATGCATGCTAGGCAAGTGCTCTGCCACTGAGCTACAGCCCCAGCTCTAAAATTTATTTTTAAATCCTTTATTGCTAGTATATAGAACACAATTGCTTTATATAGGAATACAATTGGCACAATGACATTGTACCCTGAAACCTTGCTGAATTCACTTTGCCTTTCTAGTAGCTACCTTCTAGAGTCCTTGGAATTTTTTATATTGATCTTGTTGTTGCAAAGATAGTTTTGTTTTCCCCTTTCCAATCTATGTCATTTTCCTTTTCTTGTCCTATAGCAATGGCAAGAATTTCTAGTTCAGTGTTAATAACAGTAGTGAGGTCAGGATCCTTKTGTTGTTCCCCATCATAGAAGCATAGCATCCAGTCTTTCACCATGTAAGTGTGATGTTAGCTATGAGGTTTTATAGATGCCCTTTATTGGACTAATTTCTTTGCTTTTCTGGCTTGCTGAGAATTTTTATCAGGAATGGTTCTGAATTTTGYCAAATGCTTTTCCCACTTTGACATGATCCTATGGTTTTCTCTTTTATTATGTTAACGCAGTAAATTGCATCAGTTGATTTTCAAATGTTAAGCCTATCTTGGATTCCTGGGATCAACTCCCCCTAGTTATGGTGTATTATCCTCTGAATAATTGTTGGATTAAATTTCTAATATTTTGTTAATGATTTTTGAGTTTATGTTCATGAATAATGTGTTCTGTAGTTTATTATAACATGATTGTTGTCAATCATAGTTACCTTACYATGCTACATAAAACATTAGATTTTCTAGTATTCCTATCCACCTATACTCCTACCCAACTATCCTCCTGTACCTGCTAACCATCTTCAAAGGACYAACTTTTGAGATTATATTTATGTATTTTATTAATATGACTTAAAAATAAAATRTCCTCATTGTGGCAAGTTTGGGAAATGTAGAAAAGGATAAAGAYGACTAAACACTATTAACTAAACACTATTACTCAGATATAACCAATATGAACATTTTGGTGTATTTACCTTTAATCTTTATCTGGGCATACAACACAATTATTATTATTATTTTAATTTTTTTTTAGTTGTCAATGGTCCTTTATTTTATTTATTTGTATGTGGTGCTGAGGATCAAACCCAGTGCCTCACACATGCTAGGCAAGTGCTCTGCCACTGAGCCCCAGCCCCAGCCCACAACACAATTACTTTTTAAAGGTGAAAAAATATATATATTTAGAATCAGCCAGCTGGACTCAGTTTAGATGAMCCCATTTTGTTGGTGACATCCAGAGCATGTCATCATCAGGAGCTGGTCGAACACACACCTTATCAGGCCGGCCTGACCAGGATGTTGACCTTGGCCACATCCTTGTCACAGAGCTTCACCTCCATCTGGCGCTCGSTGGCCTTGACGTCCACAGTGCGCATGCGCACAGTGTCTGTGGTCTTCTCTCGTCCTCGCAGAAGGCTCCGTGGTCAGGGCAGCTTGAGGCTGCATGGTGGTCAGGCTTGCTCCTTGGGCGAGCGCTCTTCAGAGGATGTCAGCTGTCGCCAGAGCAGCAGCGTCTCGGGCTGCCAAAAGATGTGCACCTCTTCTTTTGTGCCCGGCGATACCTTGTGGCACTGCCTTCTTGGCCTTCAGAGTGTGACTGTCTTTGCCTTCGAGAGGGAGGAGCGCCCTTCTCCACCTCAGGCGCCACCTTAGTGAAAAGGTCCACTATGAATATTTCTTTCCTTTTGCAAAACCAAGGACCTTGCTCTCTCAACGGAGCCAGCCAGCGGTTGTGGGTTGGTTTGTCGTTCTCTGCAGCTGTTTTCTGCATTGTCTCAGTCACAGGTGGCCCTTCACCGACCTGTCACTTGCTGCTCAATCCTCGCATGGGGAGGCCTGGGTTGTTGTGGGTTCAGAACCCACAACCACTCTCTTCTGCAGGGAATGGTCCAGAGTGAGCATGATCCTCCCCTAAGCCCAGGAGCCCTGCCCCACCCTGCACACATCTTCTCTCATAGTCAGTTTGATTCTGGTGACTGCTTCCTGGTGTGGGGGCATGAGACACAGATAGTCTTGTCCTTTTTTTTTAATATTTRTTTTTTAGTTGTAGTTGGACACAACACCTTTATTTCACTTGTTTATTTTTGTATGTGGTGCTGAGGATCAAACCCAGGGTCTCGCACGTGCGAGGCGAGTGCTCTACGGCTGAGCCACAACCCCAGCCCAAGTCTTGTGACTTTTGAGTGCACAGCTACATTTATATTTCAGTTTGCACCCCTTGAAAATGCCACCAGTCATACAATAAGAACCCATTTTTGAAAGTATAGGGTGGCTTGATTTGTGTTCTTGGTCCAGGGAAAAATACTAWGAATGGATACACAGGACGAGACTTTGGTCAAATCAACCCAGGAAACAGTAAGTTCTCTGGAGCCTTCATCACAAAGTGGGAAAAGGGCCATTGATCAAGCCGAGGCCCAGTCTCAGCTCCAAGCCGAATGATCTGGAGCAAACTAAGCCCCCTCTCTGAGCYTTGGTTTCCTCATCTGAAATGACATATTCTTATCCTATCTCCTAGGTTGCTGTGACAATCAAATACAATAAAGGACATGAAAGTGCTTGGCGAAACACCAAGTGAGGKGACATTGCTGTTACCTTTCCCAGTCAGGACAAACAGCCCAAGTCCCAAGCAGACTGCCCTTACTGCTTGGACTAGGGTTAATACCAGAGGTTGCCTGATGGCTTTTTACTGCTTATTGACATCTTATAAAATCTATATTGTTGCCAGGCCTGGTGGCACATGCCTGAATCCCGGCTACTTAGGAGGCTGAGGCAGGAGGATTACAAATTTAAGGCTAGTCTCAGCAACTTAACAAGACTCTGTCTCAAAAAATAAAAGGGTTAAACCCTTGAGCTCAACCCCCAGTAGTGCCAAAAAAGAAAGGAAAAAAAAAATAACTATATTGTTGTCCTTGTTCAATTTCACAAGAGCTAACATGTTCATTATAATGCATTTGAGATCTGACCACCGTTAGGTCAGCTGTGTGTTTTCATAGGAYGCACAGCTTAATTCTGTCCCAAGGTGGCCACATGACACCGAGCTGCATCATGTTCTGCAACTTTTTCTTAACTGAACAACAAATCATGGAGGTCTTTCTGCATCAATAAATAGAGACCCCTTGATCTGACAGTCACAGAGCACCCTGGGAGGGAGGAGTCACCGGTGTGACCTGCTCCCCAGGATGGCCGCCGTGCCTTCCCTTCTGCCCTGCACCAGTGTTCCTCTCCACACTGGACAGCCCTTGGTCCCCAAAACACAGGGTCCTCAGCACCTGCTGTCCCGCTCCATCCTTCTGGCCTCGCCCTCCTGACACACTTGGGCCCTGTGCCCCACACGTGTTCATGCACGGCCCGTCCCTGTGTCCCGTCCAGGCCTTCCCTCAGAAGCTGGTGGAGCCCGTCTGTGCTTTCTGGAACTTCAGCATCAGGTGAGTGTCCACTTCCACGTTTTTAAAATACAGTCTTAAAAAAGAAAGAGAGAGAGAAAAAGAAAGACATCTACTCTGCTTGCAAATTAGGCAGGACCCAAGTGTAATTGGGGCCTCCAAAAACTGCCTTGTGGGGAGATTCCAGGCCCCACCCAGCTCCAGGGCAAGCTGGGGCAGGAGAATGTGTTTCCCAGCGGGTAGTGAGCTCCCCGTCGTGGGAGGTGTGGGAGGGAGGCCACACTCACCCTATGAGGTGCCRAGGAGACTTGTCTGTTAAATGGGTGTCAGACTTGGGGGCCAGGCCCAAGGTCACTGAGATTAGAGGAGGCTGCAGGGATTAGCATCAACTCCCCTGCTGGACCTTTACCTGAGGGAGTGGAAGCAGTGACACCTGCTTGGTCATTAGGGTGATCCCTGGTCTCAGCCTGTCCCCTACCATCCCTGAGATGGTTAAGCACATTCGGTTAAGGCCCAGGGGGGGCAGTGGTAGGTCACAGTCACACAGCCAGCTAAGGGCAGGGCAGCRATGGACCCCAGGCTCTGGGAGGCTCTCCCCTGCCTGCTCCCTGAGGCCCCCCATGTCCACTGGGTCTCAGCAGCCCTCTGTTCCCTCCCCACCCCGAAGCCCACACACAGGGGGTTCCTGGGCCACCGCGGGCTGCTCCGTGCTCTCCCTGTACCAGGACTCCACTGCCTGCTTCTGCAACCACAGCACCAGCTTCGCTGTCCTGTTGCAGGTGTACGACATCCAGGTGAGTGCAGGGGGGAGGGGCAGCAGGGGTCTTAAAGGATGAACAGGAATGACRCAGAAGGGCAGGGGGAGGGGTCCCAAGCTCAGGGAGGAGGGGACCCCCACTGGACAGAGGGAGGAAAGCAGGTCAAAGACCAAAGTCTGGCCCCCGCCCAGTGGCGCACGCCTGGAATCCCAGAGGCTCAGGARGCTGAGGCAGGGGGATCGCAAGTTCAAAGCCAGCCTCAGCAACAGTGAGGCACTAAGCAACTCAGTGAGACCCGTCTCTAAACAAAATACAAAATCAGGTCTGGGATGTGGCTCTGTGGTGGAGTGCCCCTGAGTTCAATCCCCAGTACCAGAAAACAAGAACAAAAACAAAAAAGTCTGGACCACTAGGAATGGGGGGGCTTGGCCCTGAGAGGGAACAGGTGGGTAATGGGTGGGAGTGGCCTGTGGGTTCGAAGGGGTTTGGGTCTGGTGTTCAGTCGAGTGTCTCTGCTGGAGATGCAGAGCCAGAGGGCAAAGCCAGGGGCCTTGGTGAGGCTGAAGTAAGAGGAGGCTCCGCCAAGAGAGGCCCAAGTCCCTGAATGCCAGCGGGACAGGTTGGGGGGACCAAACTCCAGGAGACCCAGAGGCTGGGCTCCATRGAGCTGGAAAGGACTCCAGGGTCACTTGCTAGGAGGTCAAGTTGGAAGGGCTGGAGCCTCTGGGAGGCCGGGTCACTTGGAGTTTTGGGAATACCCTAGAAAGACATCATCAAACACATTTTTTTTTTTCCTATAAAAACAGAGCTTGGACATTTCTCCATGTCACAAACAACCCATCCACAGCCCTGTTTCTTTTTTTATTACAGGGGTACATACCGTGGGGGTTGTTGGTACATATTTGAACATACACACGATCACCAACATAACAACATAATGGGGCCAGTGTCACTCCAGCTCTCCCCCTTCCCTCCCYCTCTCACCCCTTGGTCCCTTTCCTCTACTGATGTCCCTTAGATTTCCGCGGGACCCGCCCCCACCTTTCTTTACCTCTCTAGCTTCCGCACAGGAGAGAAAACCTGCAACCCTTGACCTTCTGAGTCTGACTTACTTCAGGTGACATGATGGTGTCCAGTTCCATCCATTTTCCTGAAAATGACATAATTTTCCTTATGCCACAGCCCATTCCTAGTGACCATCCCGCGGTACCCATGGCGAGCTGTCTCTCCTGTGGAGTCCCCCCCTCCCCGTGGGCACGTCAGCTGCTTCCAGCTCTCGCTCTCCACGCTGGCGGACCTGGGCTTAKGGGGCCAGGATGGAGAACCAGCAGGAGAGACGCGTGTGCACATGCTCACTTATTAAGGGCCTACTGTGTGCAAGCCTGGACCTTGAAGGCTGGTGCTGGGAGAGTCTGTTCTAGGTCCGGTGGCAACAGTGTCCTTTCTGTCCCTCTCCACAGAGAGGCCCCGAGGAGGAGTCACTTCTGAGGACCCTCTCGTTTGCGGGCTGTGGCGTGTCCCTCTGCGCCCTTGCTACCACCTTCTTGCTCTTCCTGGCAGCTGGGTGAGGACAGCTCCTGGCACCTCACCCTCATGGGCCTGCATGGCTCTCAGTCCATTCCTCTTCCCAGTGGCCTTGGTGGGAGGTCTCCCCTTGGGGCCTGCTGGGTCCCAGGCAGAGCCGCCTTCTCTGCTCCATGAGCCCAGCCGCAGGGGACCTGGCAGGATGGGGTCTGAGAGCGCTTGGGGACTGTTGTGCTGTCCTTGTTACCAACTCCTCTGCCTGTCCAGGGTCCCCAAGTCAGAGAGGACCACAGTCCACAAGAACCTCACCTTCTCCCTGGCCTCTGCTGAGGGCTTCCTCATGGCCAGTGAGCGGGCAAAGGACAACAAGGTGGGCAGACAGCAGATGGACTTGCAAGGACCCASGGAAGCAACTGGGGCCCTTTCTGGATGTCCCTCGCCCTTGACATCTTCAGCTGGCTGCATTCCCCTGGGGAAGAGCTGGCCCAGAGAGGAAAGGTCCTGGGTGGTGGGGCCCAAGGCCTGCCTGGGGCCCTCGCCCACTGGCCCCTGTTTGGGTTGTCATGCCAGGCACGAGAGTGGGACCCAGGGTGGGCTGTGCCAGAGCTGACCTCACTGGGGACACTCCACCCTCCCGCAGGTGGCATGTGTGGCTGTCACAGCTGCCATGCACTTTCTCTTTTTGGTGGCATTCTCCTGGATGCTGGTGGAGGGGCTGCTGCTATGGAACAAGGTGGTAGCCGTGAGCCTGCGCCCAGGTCCCAGGATGAGGCTCTACTATGTCATAGGCTGGGGTGAGACCCCCACTCTCCACTCTTGCTCTGTTCTTCCCAGCTGTGCCCCCACACAGCCTCTGTGGCCACTCAACACCACCTCATGCCCAGTACCACCTAGGCCCATCTCCACCTGGTGCCTGCCACCACCCAGCACCCAGCACCACTCAGCACCCAGTACCACTCAGCACCCAGCTCCCCACACCACTCAGCACCCAGCACCACTCAGCACCCAGCACCACTCAGTAAGGATCTCTGATAAGAGCTCAGTTTTCTCAGTTCTCTACCCTACCCCAGTTCCTCTTTTATAAATATGGACCTTTATGTGGTGCTGAGAATTGAACCCAGCGCCTCACTCATGCTAGACAAGCGCTCTACTACTGAGCCACAACCCCAGCGCCCCTGTTCCTCTTTCTTAATCCTCCTCCACCTCAACAACCTCAGCTTCCACCTCCAGCCCTGCCCCCAATCCACAACCTGCACCAACTCCCAGACCTAAGCCTTCAACCCGATCTCAGCTTCCCCACTCCCCAAATCCTCATGGCTCCAATGCCACCCCAACAGTGCCAGCCCCTAGCCCTGCGCCCCAGTCTCCCCAGGGTCCCCAGGCAGTTGCTACCAGGGCTGTGGCTGCTGCTTGGGAGTAAGAGCTGTACCCTGCAGAGAAGACCCACTCCTCCTTTCCCTAGGCATGCCCGTGGTCATCGTGGCCATCACCCTGGCCCTGAGACCCCATGACTATGTGGCCGCCGRACACTGCTGGCTTGATGTGCACGCAGACACCATCTGGGCCTTCGCGGGGCCGGTGCTCCTCGTGCTGATGGTGAGCTGGGGGGGGTTGAAGGGCGGGCCGCGTTCGGGATGAGAGGACCCCTTCTCCCACTGACGCCAGGTCTCCAGGCCAACACCTACATCCTGTTCCGCGTGGTGATGGTCACCGTGTCCAGCGCCCGCCGCCGTGCCCGCATGCTGAGCCCGCAGCCTGGCCTGCGGCAGCAGATCAAGATACAGATGTGGTGAGGCCCAGCTTGGGAAGGTGGCGGGACAAGCAGAGCCGCCCGAGGCCCACTGGTGTGAGCATGTGTGTGCACCCTGGGGGTGTGGCTGTGTGGGTGTGAGGAGTGCCCGCAGGTATGCACACGTGTCCTTGCTTACGTGTCACACACACCCATGCATGTCATGTGAGGATGGCCATCGATCCAGAGTGACTCAGTGGGACAACAGCCACTGCCCTGGGGCTCCCTGTCTGCAGAAGGCACTGATAGCCTTCTAGGGACAAGGTGAGGGACCCCAGAATCAGATAACCCCCAGAAGTTCAGGGTGAGGTTCTGGGTCCCTACCCCTGTCAAGAACCCCATCACTCTCCCTGCTGGGAAGGGGCCCCTGCCTTCTTCCGCTCCCCTTTCTCCACCAMGGGCAGGCAGCCAAGTCAGGGAGACCCCAAAAAGCCCAGAGCCCGAGATCTTCCTGGAGAGAGAAAAGGGAAGCCCTTTGGACTCTGTGCACCTGTCCCCTGCCCAGGTCTCCTTCTGGGTACCTGCCCCCATTTGTTCAAACCAGGTTTGGTTCTGGGACCCTCTGTCTCCAGTGTCACCATCTGTTCTTCATGCCACCTCTGGGTATTTGGTAAGGGGCAGCAGAGTCCAGAAGGTTCTAGCTACCCCCAAGTCCTACCTGTGCTGTGGTCCCTGTCTGCATGTCCCACCCCTCTCCAGGCACTTCTCAGGTGCCACCCTCCCTGAAGGGAGTGCCCCAGCCCCCTCAGCCCTGCCCACTGTCCCACAGGGCCACAGTGAAACCGGTACTGGTCCTTCTGCCCATCCTGGGCCTAACTTGGCTGGTCGGCATCCTGGTGCATCTCAGCTCSGCCTGGGCCTACGTTGCTGTGGGCCTCAATTCCTTCCAGGTACCTCTAGGCTCYGGCCCATCTGGACTGGGGCTCTGACACTCAGGAACCCAGAGGGGACACCTGGTTTGTCAGGCAGGGAGCAGCCCTGGGGCCTGATTCCAGAGTGTGGCTTCTCAACCACTGGGGTGGTCAGACATGACCACAGAGGGGCCCAGGCATGCTCCTGGCGAGGGTGCCCTGCCCCAGTCACTCACCCACCTGTGCCCCGTGCGGGCCTTCTACTTGCTCCCTTGGAACTCAAATTTGGGGAAGACAGCCAAGATCCAGAATAGGAACTGACATGTTGGTGGGGGCTGAGGCAGGGAGGGGTGGGGGTGCTAGCCCCCTTGTCCTCTCCCCTGGGCCTTGGGACTCCACCACATGCCAGGCAGGAGTGGAGAGGGAGAGGACAGAAAGGGGACACTGCTAGGGGTCGGTGGGGGCCACACCCAGGGGCACCCTGCATTGCACACTCCAGAGTGGCCGCATCCTCCCTCTCCATCGCTGTGGGGGCGGGACCACTGGTCAGGGCCAGGCCCAGCTCTGAGCCGTCTCCTGGCTGTGTCTTGCTCCTGTCACCCCACCTCCAGCCTCTGTCTTAGGCACAACCTCTGCCCTYGGGACAGTGACTGGGACACAGTCCCCCCTGGTGTGGGGATAGGGCTTGACRTCTGTGTGTGTGTCTCTGCTGTGACCTGGGGACCACAAGGCAGGAGGCCAGGCTGGGGTGGGGCTGGGCGGTGTCTCAGGGTTTGATTTCRGGTCTGTCCCCAGGGGCCCTACATCTTCCTGGTCTATGCTGCCTACAATGGGGAGGTGAGTCGGGGTCCTAGGGCTGCAGGGAGGTGGGTCACGGTGGGACCTTCAGAACCCTCCCCTACAGGCCCAACGTGGGGCGCAAGTGTCTGGGGCCTGACCTCTGCATGTCCCGCAGGTGCGGAGCGCCCTGCAGAGGATGACCGAGAAGAAGGCTGTGGGTCAGGCAGGGCCCAGCGCTGTCACCATCTCCTGTGGGACCTGCTCGGGCCCCTCTAGCCAGCAGCCTCCAGGTCCCTGGGAGGCGCCCCGGACTCCACCAAGAAGACACGTGGCTCTCAGAGGTCAGATCTCAGCACCTTTTGGTCCYCGTGCTATGGCAGAACAGTGACCATGGCGATCCTATTAGCCCATTTGAAAGACAGGAAACAGAGGCCCTGGACAGTCCTCGAACAAACGTGGGCAGGAAATGGCTTTAAACTGGCTTGTCAAGGGCTGGGGTGTGGCTCAGCGGTGGAGCTAGCTACCTAGCTAACCTAGGGCCCCATCCCCAGCACCAGACACATGACTCCTGGGGCCCAGCCAGAGGAGGGGTGGGACTAGCTGGGGTGACCTGAGTGTCCATGCAGGGGGTGTTGGGGGATTCCTGCAGACAGGTGAGTGGATGGGCTTGGGGCCCTGAGGCAGGGCATGGGTTAAAAGACCTCACGTCCTGTCTACGGTCCAGTCCCAACCCCCAGCGAGCCCCCTGCATCCCCCTGGGCTTCAGTGTCCTCCTCACTAACCTGGGTAAAGCTTTGAGTGGATTCCTGGACTGTGAGATCATGAGGACCCCACCCAGTGTGGGGAGCAGGGAGAGGGCTTCCTGCTCCAGTCTCAGAAATCGCCCTGATCCCRTGTTCTTCCCCCTACTAGGGATCCACGGCCCCAGAATCCCCACAGCCTTCTCTTCTATTGCAGAACCCGAGAGACCGGTGAGGCTGGGACAGGCCTGGCCCCAGGGGACCAGCAAGTGTGGCCGACAGGGTTGGGGAAGCCACAGGGAGTAGGGTCCGGTGGGGTGGGGGCTTCTCCTGGGGTCCTGTCCCTCAGTTCTGGGCTGAAAGGCCCTGGAGCAGCAGAGAGCTGCAGCCTGTGGGTGGCACAACTGAAGGTCAAGGCCACTGGGGTTGAGGGAGGAGGAGTCACCAAGGTTTCTGGGGGTGGGGGTGGGGTTTCCCAGGGGAAGGGAGGAGGAACCCAGGCCACCCTGTTCCCCTCTCCTCAGGCTGTGGAGCTAACAGCATTCAAGGCTTCAGGTATGGCCACCTTGGGGGGGTTCCCCTACCCCCTTTGGGCCTGGACACCCCTCACCCCCCTTTATCAGGATAGAAGTAATTGGAGAAGCAACCACACCCACCTTCCACAATTTAAGGAGCCCTGACCTCACTCTATTCCCTGATAGTGTCTGAGAGTCTCCCTTTAGGACACTGGACTGTGCAGGGACAAGGCAGAGCTCTTGGGGAGAGGGTCACTTAAGGGTGAGGTTGGAGGAAACCTTCCCAGACCCGGTCCTCCCTGCAGGGGCAGTGAACAAGAAGCCTGCCCTCTGTCCACTCTCCCTGGTCCCCAGTCCTGCTGCCCAGCCTCCTGCCCTGAGGGCCCTTYCAAACCCAGTGAGGAACAGTGCTTCCCTCCATGCCTGCAGACAGCCTGGCAAGACTGGGGACATCCCAGGCCAGGTCCAGGAGCTCAGGCTGGCCCCAGGGGAGCTGTCTCTACAGCTCCCTCAGCCTTTCTAAGTCTTGGGTCTCACAAACTGAGGCGGACACTGGCCAGACTCACATTTTTTTTTTTTTAATCCTGGGGATTGAACCTAGGGGCACTTAACCACTGAGCCACATCACCCCATCCTCAGCACTTTTTTATTTTGAGGCAGAATCTCACTAAGTTGTTTAGGGCCTCTCTAAATTGATAAGGCCTGCCTCGAATTTGTGATCCTTCTGCCTCAGGCTCCCAGGTTCCTGGGATTACAGGCATGGGCTACCACACCTGGCACACACTATTTCCAGCAAGGGGTGAGAAGCCTTTTTCTGGGAGCTCTTACTGGGGCCCAGTGCCATACCAAACCCCAGACATCTTCTCATTTTAATCCAGTGGCCTGGGAAGAGGCTATGCTGCGTTCCTCCCATGGCACGTYGAGCAAACTGAGGCACAGAAAGGAGCAGCACCTAGCTAGAGTCAGAGGCAGAGCTGGGGGCAGGCCCACCCATACAGATGGGAGAACTGAGGCCCTGCCATAGTCATATGAGTGTGAGCCCCAGCACAAGAGAACCCAGGTCTGTGTGACTCTCCAGCTGTGCTCAGTCCCTTGGAGGCTCAGCTTCCCCAGCTGCAAAACGGGCCGGAAGCGCCCCCTGCAGGCGGGTCGAGGAGGAGCAGGGCTGGCGCAGGGCGATCCGAGGGGCGGGGCCTCGGCCCCACGGGCCCCGCCCCCATCCGCACTCGCGGGCTCAGAGCATCTGCGGGAACAAGAGCCGCAGCGCGCCTCTGCGCTCAAGTGACAGCGCCTTTGTCTCTGCTGAATATGTGTGTTGCTAAGGCCGCTCGTAGCAACGGAGCGGCTTCCACCTCGGCCCCACCCTCCAGACCCCAACCTTGGCCTGGTCCCCCAACGCTCCCGCTTCTACCCCTCACCCCAGCCAGCAGCCCACTCAGACAGTGTGCGGGGGAGTGAAGGCTGTAGCTGCACGTCCCTCGAGGTGCCGCCCGCCCCTCCAGAAAGCCCATGGAGCCCGGGGTAACGCAGGTGTTCTCAGGGTGAGAAATCGAGGCTCAGAGGCCATTAAGAGGCTCCCCAGGGTGGCCCAAGCCTGGATTCCCACCCAGGTCTTCCCCCAGCCTTCCTTCCCAGACTCCTCCCCATCTTAGCGGTTTTGGGTCACTGGGCCGCTTTCCTCCCAGGTTTCTAGAGAGTGTCCAGGGGCTTTCCTGCAAGCCCCTCCCCAGCTCACCTGGCCTGGGGACACCCTCCCAGGACCCCCAATCTGGATAAGAGGCACAGCTGGCAGCCTCAAGGGACAGAAGAGCAGCCCTGGATCAGCTACTCCCAGCTTGAGTGTGGACCCCTCCTGGGGCTCCCGCTAACCCCAGCATGACCCACTGTCCCCTCTTCCTGAGATTTGTCCCTGTCCACCTGTGCCAGGTTCCGACATGCCCTGCAGTGTCTGGTAATAAACAGTACTGTTGAGATGCTTCCTGTCCCTGTCTGGGGGTCCTCCTGGTCTGGGGAGCAGGAGAAGATTCCAGGCGCCCTGGGAAGAGTGAGGGAGTGGGAACAGCTTCCACTTTGGCTTTGGCACTCAGCCTTGTCACTAGGGTGGATGCAGTCAACATTTATTACCACCTGCGCTGGCAGGGCGGAGCCTTTTCTCACCCACAGCTGCGGGTCCTCACCTCGGCCCTGAGACCAGCCTCTCCTGTCTTGTGCAGAGGAGGATGCTCCATGATTCAGATCTGGGGTCTCCTGGTCATGTAGTGCAGCGGGCAGCTGCAGGTGGTGTGAGTGGCAGTCTGCTCAGAAGAGCTCTCTGGCAACCACAGCCATCCTGAGGAGGCTGGGGCTTGCTGGGGTCTGGTGGGAGTCATTTTGTGGAATCAGACCCTGCCACCACCCACTGTGCCACCAGGGGCAAGACTCTTCTCCAAGTCTGGGCCTCTTCTTGGGTAGAAAGGTGGAGGAGCGGTGGTTATGTTAGGGCTTAACACCAGGCTTAAGGCCAAGGAGGGCCCAGGGCTGGGACTTGCCAGGCAGAGGCTACCAACACCACCCTCCCCAAGCCAGAATCAGAGCTGCTGTGGGGGCTGGCGGGGCAACAAGGCGGTGGAATTGAACTGGGCAGGGCACCTGGGGCCCGTGACTGCCTGCGTTTTCCGTGTCCCCTGACTCCTTCCCCTCTCTTTCAGAAGGCTCCTGTCTCCCTTAAACCAATCACAAAGRCTAGGAGGGCACTGCAAAGGCGGGGACCAAGGAGTCCTTTCCAGCCCTGTCCTGTTTCATACTCTTCCCCCTCACACAAACCCTCTTCACTCTCCAGTCAAACACACCTGCTGACCTCCTCATCCCTTTGCTCTCATGCTATTCCATCTCCCTGGACTGCCCCCAACTTCCTTCGAGCCAGTGAACTCCTAGGCATCCTTCAAACCCCAATTTGAATGACAGCTATAAAGCCTTCCTGTCCCTTCTCCCATCCTCCCAGGAACAGACTCAATCACTTACTCATCTCATCTGGCTCAGTTACATGAGCCAAATCATCCCATCAGATTACAATCTGAGTAAGACAGTCTCCTCCTCCAACACTGCACATTGCAGGGGCAGGAGCTGGGGGCCTGCTGCACTTCTACAGGCACCAAGGAGAGGGACCCCTTTATCTTGGCATAAAAGCCCTTACTACCTTGCCCTAGAAGTAGTGCCCTTTTCTAATTTGCACAGAGGCACTGGCTAGGCCAAGCGTGGCTCTGCAGATGAACTAACCAAGTTGGTCGAGGAGGGTCAGGACAGCGTGCCCATTGTGACTAGGGCAAACCACTTCGCTCCCCCATGCCTTAGTTTCCTCATCTGAAATCTTGAGCTGCCACCTACGGAAGTGGCTTTGAATAGCATATTGGACAACAGAATGGGTAGGTAAAATGGCAGGCACAGCGCCTGGGCCACCGCAGGTGTCATCAGATGCCGGCTGTGCTCACTGCTGCCACCAAGTGACAGATGGGGAGAAAGGGACCTCATGACAGCCCAGAGAGGAAGAGGCCAGTGCCTGCAGTCCAGTGGACCCAGGTTGGGATCTGCATCCCCAGACTGTGAAAAGGCCCTTGGCAGGTGCCTATCCCTCCTGAAGTATAAACCCTGTAGGACAGTGAGATGAGGGACAGCACACAGTAGGTGCTCATTAAATGACTGCTCCCTTCTACCCAAGATAGGGGCTGAGCTGGCATRGCAGGGTAGAACCGAGGCGAAGGCTCTAAAAGGCCACAGAATCTTCCAGGCCTCCTGGGTACATTGGGAATCCCATGAATGAGATGAGATCCATTCAMCCCAATTCCTGCAATCCTTCCTGCCTCCCTAGAGTTTTGAACCAAATGTCATCTGCGTGTCACCTCTATCCCCATCAGAGAACCACCGACCTCAGACCACCCTAACCCACCCAGGAGGCCCTGCTCCAGATGGCAACTGGCCAAGGTGGCTGGAAACTAATGGCAAAATTTATTCCAAGGCTGCCGGGCAGGGGCGGGGTCGTAAGGGCACTTCTTGTTTTGGGGCTGTGGGTCTCCGGCCTTGGCAGGGGCACACGTTTCAGGGGCAGAATGGGGACTGAGACAGGGCAGCAGAAGGCAGCGGGTGGGGAGACATCCAGCCTTGTCTGACTGGGCAGGCTCAGCGCAAGCTCAAACGGCGACACGAAAGCAGGACAGACAGTGGGTGTCTAGCCTGGGACAGAGGACAGCTGAGGCCTCTCCCTAGCTCCTGGCCCTGGAGAGAATCCTTTGGGAGGCAAGGTAGGAGTCCAGGCAGCTGAGGCCCAGCTTCAAGGGCTGCAGTGAGGCCACAAGGAAGGGGCTCGCTGGCATTGGCCCTGATCCAAAGACCCAGGTGCCCTCCCACCTTCACCTAGACTCCCACCCACAGAAACCCCGAGCCACACAGTGCCTCTGCTCACCTAGTGGCTGGAGGGCAAGCAACAGCTCTTCTCTGTATTGTGGTGGGGCTCAGGACAACCCAGCACCACTGGGTCTTGGTGGAAAGTGTCTAGGGAGAAGGCCTGGGCGGTACTTGGTGCTGATCCCATACCTAGCTCAGTCCCCACATCTGTCCCCTGCCTTCCAGCACACACACCTTTCAAGCAATGTCTAAGAGATTGAGAAGCAAAGAAGGAAAAAACAAAACAGAAAAACCCTCTTAACTACACCCTTGCAGGTTAGTACCAGCCTGGGCTGGCCAGGTGTGGGCAGGACTGGTCTGTTGACTRTACCCAACTCTTCCTGGGTGGGCAGAAGAGGGTCAGAAGGTTAACTGTAACAAAATCCTTTTCCAGTAATGGGTCAGAGACTCCCCTGCAGAAGCCAGATGGGTAGAGGGGTAGGGGAGAGGTCTTTTGTCCCAACCAGTCTCCCAGTGTCCTCTAGGGCCTGCAGCCTCTACCCAACTTAGCAAACTCCATTATCCCTAGTTTACAAATCAGAGGACTTACATCCCCTCTATGGGGGAGCTTTGGAGACCCCCACCTGCCATCCCTGTTGATGCCTGCTCGCCTTTCCCCCTGCCTCTGATTCTGGCAGAGGGGGAAAGAATGACCTCTGACCCGAGGGACATCSAGGCCTACCAGGGAATCCCGAACCTCCTCCCTGGACAGCCAGCACTTCAGACTCCAGGACAGAAGCTGGGAGCAGGGGGAGGGCGGGGTGGGTAGCAGCCGCCTCCTTGGGGCACTCTGAGTGGCAGGCAAGTGCCAGTGTCTGGTGAGGGCCACCCCATCTCAGCCAGGCCCTGCCCGTCCTTACCCACCACCCCAAACACACAGCTCCAGAGCTTAGGGTCAGGGGCCTACGGGATGGGGCTCCTGGGTTGGCCTAACCGAATAAGCCCTGCGGAGGCGGCGGGTAGCCGTGCCCTCCCGGCCCGCCTGCCCCGGCCCGCCCGGGCTCAAGTCTGCTTGGCCTGCAGCATCTCGATGAGCAGGTTGTTGCGGGGCATCTCGTTGCCCAGGTGCTTATGGTACAGGTACTCCTTGGCCTGCATGCTCAGGGCCCGCACCTCCACCAGGCACAGCAGCAACTGCTGGAACTTGTCCCCGCAGTGTGGGTAGTGGCACAGGGTGTAGTCGAGCAGGGCAGCGTTGGCCTTCTCCTGAGCGTCCTTCACCAGGCTGTGGTTGTTCAGGAACTTCACATCTGCAAAGGGAGGAGTGAGGTCACCCTCCGGCCGTCCCTGCAGACACATCACTGGCACCAACACACCTTCCCTGTGACCCACCAAGTCATGCGCATCAATGTGGCTGACCAACACCACCATCCTCATCAGTCACCCAAACTACATCCCTGTGTTTGTCACCAGTGTGACAGATGCCACCATCAACAAGCCACAGTCACTGTCACCAACATCGCTGCCTCTGTCATTGCCCTGATGGTCAGGATGGATGTCGATCATCACCAAGACCTTCACCGATCGCTCCCGGGCATCCCTGGGCGTGTTATTTAAACCACTCCATTTCCTCATCTATAAAATGAGGGTGACAATGGAACCTGCAAGACTTTGAGAATTTGAGCAGTTGACTTGGGGGAAATGCCTAGGAGAACAGTCACTGGCACAAAGGTCCCTGGGTGACCTCCTTATCATGGCCAGGGTCGATACCATTACCATAACTGGCACCATCCCATGGTTTACATCATCATGTCACCTTCATCCCATGGCCATTGCCATCAGCATCACCACACTGCCACTCACCACTGTCACCTCACTGCCACCGTGACCAGAGAGGAGCACTGTGAGTGGAAGGACCCATCTCACAGCTGTGAGGCATGAAAACTGGAAGCCCCTTCCAGAGAACCTCGGCATGCTGTGGGTTTACCCTGTGACCACGAAAGAGGCTCAGCAGCCCAAGGAAGGTCTCCTACGGGGCCTTGGGGACATGATGTTCACCACAGCAGTATCTATGGTGGCCAGGAGGTGGCTGGGATGCCACATGCCAGCCTCACAGGTGAGTAGTATGGGGCACACAGAACCCAGAGCCCAGGGACGGATCTTTAAGAGCGTGGAGAGGAAAACAAGGAATGGAGGGGAAGGTCCAGGGGGTCCAGAGGGTGAGGCCGTTTACATCAGTCAAAGATGGTGCTGGGGACGTGGCGCAGCGGTAGAGCACCTGCCCAGCCCGCACGAGGCCCTGGTCTCCTTCCACAATACACAAGAACGGGRACGGACAACATGATCTGCCCTGGACATGAAGGCTGTTTCCCTTGGAGCAAGAGGGACAGCATGCAGGGAGGTTCACTAGTGTATCCCTCCACCTGAGTCACAGGCATATGTCTCTGGAGTGAGGCAGACGAGGGTTCAGACCGAGCCACCATGTTGGAGCAGTGACCCTCCCTTAAAACGCCTTCCTCCTCTCTGCAGGAGCCGTGCCCACCTTGCAGAGGGGTGAGGAAGGCCTGGGAAGGTGTCTTGTGCYCAGGTCCCTGGCCATGGCTCACAGGCCCCTCCACTCCTGGGTAGCATTTCCAGCTGAATTTGCCCTGTCCAGGGGTTCAAGGTCACCAGGAATCCCCGGGATCAGTCCCCAGTCCTCAAATCTTAGCCTGGCCTCCCCTGGGATGTGGCTTCCAGTGGCTCAGAAAATGACCCTCCATCCACTTCCCCRCCCATCACCCCAGCCCTGCTGCTGTGGGGGCGGCCAGCCAGGTGGCATGTGCAGCCCTGGGCCCTCTAATCCCTTTAACACCTGCCGCGCCAGGAGAGCTGGACGCTCCTGGCAACCCTGATCCTGGGCCGCCCCCGGTGCGCTTGCCAAGGCCTATGTTGTCCAAAGATGGATTTAGGGAAACCTGAGCTGGGCCTGGGTCATATGGCAGGATCTGACAGGCCACCATCCTCCATCCCTACCCTGTCCCTCACCTTCCCTCACTAAGCAAGCCAGGGTTCTTTTCTTCCTCCATTCCCAGGACCACTGTTGGCCCACAAGGCACCTTTGTGTCAATTAGAAAGAAGTCGGCCCTTGTCCATAGAGATGGAGCTAGATTTCAGACCTCCAGTCCTACCCCGCCTCTGTGCCCTTGTGCAGTGAATGACCTGCCCAACTGTACAGAATAGCCTGCACCCTAACCTGGCTGCTCCAGGCCCATCCAAATGTCATGAGAATTCACTCCACTTAGCTGGCCTCCTGGAAGCAGGTGCGTTAGTTTCATCCCTGTCCTAACCTCTTTCAATCCCAGTCCTGTCTCCATCTGCCTTCATTCCCACCATCCCCACAGCTGGGCCAGTCTGACACAGTCTTCTGCCAATTCACAGTAGTAGGTGGGGATTTCAGAGAAGGATAGGGACCAGCTCAAAGCCACACAGCAGTGAAAGCAGTAAAGGGGCCTAGACGGAAGAGCTGGGGCTGGGAGGACAGGCTAACATGCTGCAGTGGGGATGGGTAGGAGGGGCCTGGGAGAACCAGGGCCTGGGCTTTACAGGGATTTACTGTTCTCGGCAACACCAAGCCGGGGCAGACTGCAGGGGGTGGGTGCAGAACAAGGACAGGTTTCAGGGACAGCCCCTTGCAGCAGTTCTCTGGTCTCTTGGCTCTCAGGAGGCTGAGACCTCGTATCCCCATAAGGTCAGCTACAAGGGATAGGGGGCACCGTCCTTAATGGCTACAGTCCAAGAGTCTGGATCCAGTGTCCTGGGCACCCAGCCAACACCTTGTGCCCTGACACCTTGCGCCAACCTGGGTAATTCTCAGGGAAGGGCACCCCAAGACCAGAGCCTGCATCAAAACCCAGGTCTCTGATTCTCCAGCCTCCTGATGCGAGGGCTGGGTCCGCCTGGACACTGGGTCCTGGGGAACTGGACATACCTCATGTTCCATCCAACTAGGACTCCATCCAAGCCCTGCTGTCCGGGGTCCCAGGTTTCCCCCAAAGAGGCTGCTCTGGGCTCGAGGACTTGGATAGTCACCCACCTCTCCAGCCCCCCAGAGTCCCCAGTTTCTAAAAAGTTTGTGGTGAAGACTCTAAGGTACCTGACAGAATCAGTGTCCCATGATGAGCTCTCACCCTTCTAACCTTAGACACAAGCAGGAGACAAACAAGTCTGCAGATGTCTCCTTAATGGGTCAGGGGTTCAAAGCCTAGCCCTACAGCCAGCTGGGTGACCTTGGACAAGTCACTTCCCCTCTCTGAACCTCAGTTTCTTGTCATCTGCAAAATGGGGGCAAACTGATCTCTGCTCATGGAGCTCCAAGACCAGACCTCTCCTGTGTATCTGGCCCAGGGCCCTGAGCCTGACAGAGTGGAAGTGACCAGGCTGGAGACAGACCTGTGTCCCTATCCCTGTCCTGCTCAGCTCCCAGCAGTCCTGGAGGCGGGAGGTGGGAGGCAGGAGGGGGCTGGGAGATGGCACCCCCACCTCAGGGAGCAGCCTGCTAGCTCTGCGAGCTCTGGGGCCCCCAGGAGCTCAGAAAAGCCCCCTTTTCACGGTTTAATTGAATATTTGAATAATCCTTTCATTCCAGTGAGGCATAAAGAATGTTGTCCCAATAGCGGTGACTCAGGCAGGCGCCCCCGCGCACAATGGCCCCTCGAGTGGGGCTGCTATTCAGGCCGCCTTTTGTTGGCTCGGAGCAGTGGGTAAATTGCAAACGCTTAAGGGAATGCTGCTGCCGCCGCCTCAATGGAAATCAGGAAATCGAATGTTAGGTCAATCCATTAAGCTTCGATTAAGTCCTCGGCAGAACAATGCCCGCCGGGCCCATCTTCATAAACACTGCGATTGCCAGGAGAGAGGCACTAATTTTAATTAAACCTCCTTACCTGCCTCTGAGCYCGCCCGAGACAGCTATTTAGACGCCAAATGGCACCCTTCTGCAGAGGCAGGCGAGAAGGAGGCGCTGAGGGCCAGCGGTGGGGTGGGTGGGTGGGGGGACAGGCCTCACAAGAGTTCAGGCTACCCAGCCCAGGGAGGTGCTGAGGAGGGTGACGCCCTGCATGCCAGCTGGGAGCCTCCAGAAAAGTGACAGTCCCTCTCTGGCTCCCTTGTGCCCAGCTCTGGTCTGGATGGAATCATAGTCGGAGCCCTCTGTTTCAGACTCGGGGGTCCAAGTCGCCCCAGCCCCAGATCTCACCTCTTGCAGGGATCTGGGCTGCCCACCTGCCATCCTTGCCCCTGCCGCTGCTGAAGGGCTTTGGTGAAATGCAAGTTTGAACCTGTTAGTTCCAGGTACAACCCAACCCAAGGGACCTGGCCTTGCAGGGCTCAGCCCCTGTCCTCCGCCACAGCCTCTTTGCCCCTGCCCAGTCCCCTAGGCCACAGGGTCCCTTCAGGATTCCTCGTCACCCTCGGGGGGCTGATCCTTCGGTGGGGGATCCTCCAGCCCTGCTTGCTTCCTTTCACCCATCACACTGCTACTCCTACTGCAAGGCTCCGTCTCAGACGCCCCACCCGAGAAGGCTTCAGGGATGTCCCCGCTCCGTGGAGTCAGCCCAACCCCCATCTCACGGGGCAGCTCCAGTTCTTTCTCCACCTGGAACCTGCTCCCCAAAGGCCTCGTGGCCCYGGGGTCTCCTCCACTGCTCTCCTCYAGGTCCAGGTCCCAGAGCCACCTCCTTCCCCCTCACAGCCCGCTCCTCAGCCCGGTCCTCGTCTCTGTGCCCAAAGAGAGTAAGGCCTGAGCCAGAYGCTCAGATGAAGATGAAGCCTGTGACCTGGGCATCCGCTTCATTCATTTGCTCATTAACTAAGAAGGAGGATTCTAGAAGCAATCCGAGTCGCACAGTGGCCACGCCTGTCACCCCAGCCTTGCGGGAGGCTGAGGCACAAGTTTTGAGGCCACCCTCAGCAATTTAGTGAGACCCTGTCTCAAAATAAGAGATCAAAAGAACTTGGGACGAAGCTCAGTTGTAAAGCACCCCTGGGTTCGACCCCCAGTACCATTCACATAAAATAAAATAAAAATAAAACACCATACCGGCCCATGCCTCTGAGGGGCAGGCCCAGTGCCGAGCACCTTGGGAAATTCTCTCACTACTTCCTGCAGCAAGACAGGGTAGTCGTGGTGGGCATTTCACAGATGGGGAAATAGAGGCTCAGAGCAGAGAATGACTTGATCAAGGGCATATAACTGGAGGGACCTGAGTGAAACCCAGCTRGTCCATCCCTACCACCCTCCCCTGACCACTGCTCACGGACACACACCACACACGCATGCTCATGCTCACAGGTCCCTGCCCCTCCAGCCTCCTGCTGAGCCCTGCAGTCTCGCCCAGTCCCTCAGGCCTCAGCCGCCTCTGGAGGACAGGATGGAGGAGGTGCCCCGCACTCCCAATTCTGGGCACACACCTACCTGGGCCCCAGAACAGAGGGGTGGGCTCTGCCTTGCTCTCTTCCCTACACCCCTACACCTCTGGCTCTCTTCCCTATGCCCCATGGAAGGGGGAGTCCTGGATTTACCACGGGGGTGGCCAGAGCTGTGCTGGGCCAGGCAGCCACCCAGGGCTTTGGTGGGAAGCAGGGTTGGGGGCTCTTTAGGGGACACTCAAAGAAAGAGTCCCAAGGAGACTGGTGCAAGAGCCTCCTCTTCTAGACTTCCCCCAGAACTCTCTCCATGGCCCCTTGATGGCAGTTGGGTCAAGAACTATCACCCAGACCGTCACAGATTCTGGGCTACAATCCTATGTGCCAAGCATGACGTACCCCTCCGAGTCCCTCGTGTTCCAAATCTCCCTTCACTCTCCAATCTCACACCAGCTCCTCGTGCCACACAACACCTGAAAACCCAGCCACACAGGCGAGCGTGCAGTCTGCATGTGCAAACTCACACCCATGCACGCACTCCTGCCTTTCTGCAGGCCACATTACACAGACCCCCGGCCACGCTGTGCCAGTTCTCAGAGCCCTGCAGCAGCTCTCAATGACAAGGTGGTGAGGAGGACGCCCCTGGAGGCAGAGGTAAGACCAAGTGTCCCCCCAGCTGGAGCCAGCCTGGCTAGGCCCCGAAAGCTCCTCTAAGGACTTCCCGATGCAGCTCCTAGGTGGCTGTGGCTGCTCAGGCTTCCGCCCTTCCGGATGACTGTCCTGTAGCCACCCTGCAGAGCCCTGGCTGGCTGCCTGAGAGGGAACCTCTCAGAGAAACCCACCGGCCRCCAGCCTGCCCCCCACGCCTTCCCACCTCCTAATCGACTCCCTTCTTCTCCTCTGCTCTCCAGCACCTCCCACTCCCCCTCCCTCGGGTATGTTATAGACACCCTGTGGCTCTGCGGCCAACTTCCCCAGTCAGCCCTCATCCCATGTCAGCTCCTCTGCTATGAGATCCATTACCCAAAACATCCCCCAAGTCCCTGCTCAAATGTCCCTCTTGCAGGCATAGCCCTTGCTCCCATCTCCCTGTCCCGCCCTAACTGCAGGACTGCAGGGTTCTCCCACTCGGGGGCTCCTGAGGCAAGGAACACCCCCATGCGCATGTCACTGGCTGCAGGGAAGGCACTGGTGACGGTTCGCTGGGAGCTGGGAGGCCAGAGGGAGCTTGGAGACTGGAGCGGCCCAGTCTGGGCTGTGGTCGGAGGCGAGCTGGTGGGCTGGGCTTGCCCCACCGACCAGCTCCCCACTTTCCTCACCATCTGAGCGCTTGTCRAGATCCGCCTGGCTTCACATTTCACTGATCATATGAAGCTTTTTGGCTCTTTCCTAGAGAAGGCCAGTTCTGCTAAGCAGGGACTTGGGGATCCTCTTGGCTCAATGTCCTAACCCTAGGCCTGGCGCAGGGCCGATGCTCAGCAAATGCTTGTAGAATGAAGGAATGAGTGGGGGGGGGGGTCTGGGCCCCAGAGAGTCAGAGGCAGAATGTGAGCCCCTGTGGACCAGGGAATTAAGGCCCCAGAATGGAAGCCGGGAGTAGAGAGCCGGAACTCCCACAGCATGTTTGCAGGTGGGGACGGACACACACCGAGGGCGGTCAGCCAGGAGTCGCCACATTCTACGAAGGGTCCTTGTCCCATGAAGGGCAAGAACTGGACACTGTCTTGACCTTTGATACTTTCACAGAGAGACAGGTCCAGCAGGGCAGTGCCCATTCCCAGCGCCAACTGCTGGCCAGGTGCCCTATACTGAGTATAGGACCCCAAGACCCAATGGTGGCCGCTGTGGCTACAGCGGGGCCCCTGGAGTTGCTCTGCCCACTCACCCCCCCCCACTGCCCTCCACGGCCAAAGCACCCTGCCACTCACCGAGGCTGAGGAGGATGAGGAACTTGAGGCACACAAACTCCTGGCGGTCCAGCTGCAGTGCATGCAGCTGTAGCACCAGCTCTTGCGCCCGCAGCACCAGGCCATGGAGCAGGGAGCCCGCCTGGGCAGCCACTGTGGTCAGCTCCACCTGGGGGGGTCGAGAGGGCAGGTCAGGGGCCCTTCAGAGGGGATGGGCCCAGGACAGTGGTTGTGGGGCCTGGGTCAAGCAGCCCTCCTGAGAAGCCAGGAGCCCTCCCAGGCCACCAGTGTCAAGGACCCACCCTTCCCAGTTCTCCTYAACCTGCTGGGCCTGGAGTTGGGGCACCCATGGCCTGCATGCCTGATGGCAGCAGGGCAGACACCAGGAAGTGGGTGCCACAGGGGAACTAAAGGGTCCTTCATATACAAAGAGCCGCTGCTTGGCCCAATGGTGCGAACAGATTCCGTGCTTCTGTCACAGGGAAGGGCAGTTCTGCCTGAAGCTGTGGACGCGTGCACATGTCCACCCGCCTGCTCACACAAGCTCAGCTCACAGTCACACGCAGACACCTTCACAGGGCGGCCACCAGCTTCATGAAGTGGAGGCAACACTCAACTTGCACACACAYTCACACGTGCCCTTAGAGGGGCATTCACAGTAACCCAGAGCTGCGTGGTTGAGCACGCTCACGTGGTAAGAGACAGAAACAGACGCCCACATGCTTCTGCATGGGATCTGCACAATTAAACACAGGAGGGTGCACACACATGCAGGACACTCCTGGGACCACAGAGACTTTGGCCCACATACTCACACTCACGTCTCAAACTCCCTCCACCTGCACTCACAGGGGCTCCAAAGTTACCCCTTAGGASGACATCCCTGTCCCCTCCCCCCAGTGGCCTGGGACACCGGGTGACAAGTGAAGATGAGGCCAGAGGTCCTGAGGGGAGGGGGTGAGGAGCAGGACCTCAGTCTCTGTCCCCACCTGTGTTACCCATTAGGCCACTGCTCAGCCCKTGTCCCCACCTGGGGAGTCCTCCTACCACCCGGCTGGACCCAGGGCATCAATCTCCTGTCGCCTCTCCCTCCTGCCCTCTYTTTCCCCTGCTCCTCCTGGGCTCTTCCTCCTCGGCCCCCCCACTCTGAGCCAGGTGGCTGCCCCCACCTCCTCCACCCTTTTCCCCCTCCCCTTCCTCCTGGGGTCAGCGTGTCCCCCCTCCCGAGGCTCCAGCTCTGTCTTCAGGAGCCTCCGAGAGCCACTTTCCACCCTCTTGTCCCATCTCCCTGCTCTAAGCGGCCAGAGCCCGACTCTGGGCTCCCTGCGGCCTCACTCCATCCCTCATTCCTTTATTTGGGATCCRGAGTCTGCGAGGTCTCGACCTCTTATGGCTGGCTCCCAGCAACCCCTCTAGCCTCATCTCTTACCTCCTCCCACCCTGCAGGCCCCAAMAGCACTTCTGGACCCCCTCTCAGATCCCGTGCCCTGCTGTCCCGCCACCTGTGTGGGAGTGGAGACAGACCCCCCATCGCCTCTCACTATTCAATCAATTCTGATTTTTTAAAAATTTATTCTTGAGAGACCCAGTGCCACTGTCCCTTCCTCCAAAGGTCTCCTCTGATTGTCCCACATCCTCTAATCTTGTCCCCCAGAGCAGGGCTCCCAGAGGCTGACTCCTTACAAGGCCAGGGACAGGGCTGGCCACAGAGAGGCCTGGCCAGGGGATGTCCCCCAAAACGAGGGAAAGGGATGGAATTCAGGGTGTCCAGAGCTCAGAATTCTGAAAGCAGGGTCCGTCACCTCCTGGCCGGTGACCAGCAGGATGCTGCCCTCCTTGCCGTATTGGACCTGGCGGTAGATGTGGTCGAACACCAGCAGCTCRCTCCAGCAGTTCTGCAGCAGTGTCATCTGGTCAGCCACCTGCAAGGAAGAGCCACGTGGGTGTCTGGGGTCCTGCTGGGGTCTAGTTAGGGACCTTCCTCTCACCCTTCTCCTCCAACTCTCAGTTCAGAGAATGATCTAGATGTGTGACCCGAAAAAGTGACCACCTCTCTGTGTCCTGCCTATCCTTCCCTCTACTGCATCAAGTGTGGCCAAGGTCTAACAATGACAGGCTCCAACAGAAATGCTTGGGGCTTGGTTGCGCCAGGCTTCAGGCSCCAGCCCTGCCTCTCACACATGGTAGGACCTGATGCAAGTTCCAGGAGCTTTCTGTACTTTGGTTTTCTTTCTTTTTTGTTTTTCTGGGAACCAGGGATTGAACCCAGGGGCACTTAACCATTGAACCACACCCTAGCCCATTTTTTATATTTTATTTAGAGACAGGGTCTCACTGAGTTGCTTAGGGCCTCCATAAATTGCTGAGGCTGACTTTGAACCTTCGATCCTCCTGCCTCAGCCTCCTGAGCCTCTGGGATTAYAGGCATATGCTTGGTTTTCTAATCTGTAAAGTGGTCAAGGTACTTAGAAGCTGGTCTGACACGTATTAAACACTCAGTAGATGTTAGTGACAAACGTCCCTGGAGGCSCTCTGTGAAGACACCACTCATCTGAACAGTGTGCCCATATGGCCTGCTGTCAACTCTGGCAGCTACAACTGCTCTCAAAGAGCCAAGGGGAAGAAACAGAGGGCTTCTCCTGGGACTTTTGCAGAGCTTTCAAGCCCAGAAGAGAAAAGTGTTGGCCAGGCCTGGGGACAGATTGGGGAGAGGGCAGGCAGATGGCAACATCTGCAGTAGGAACAGAAGATTCTGAACACCTAGGTGGCAACCGGCACTGAGTCCTCCTTGAGGAGGACAACCCAGGCTTTGGTCCCTCTCGGTATCCACAGCCCCCTCCTGGGACCATCTCTATGGTGAACACAAGCCATGATGATTACCAGTCCCTGCGCTGGGGTCCCACAGCCCTGCCAGGTTGGTGCAGTTGCTACTAGCTTCATGGAGAGACCAAACAGCACAGTGACTTGCCCAAGGTCAGTAACTTGCCCAAGGTCACCCAGCTCTGTCTGGTTCCAGATCCATGCTCTTCACTACTGGAGTGGACAAGACTTGACCCTGCTCCCTTGCCATCTAGGGGTTCATGGTCTCTTGTCAACTTCTTACTTTCTCCATGAAGCCCTCCTCAATCCCTCCTCCCTCCTCAGTGCCCTCCCACCCTCTGGACATAGAATGTGCAACATCTTATGGCTCATGCTCTGCCTTCCCTGATGCCATGAGGCACAGGAAGGCAGGCCTGGTGTCCAGCTCAGCTCTGGGCCCCTCCAGGRGGCCTCAGGAGCAGCTGATAGAACTCTGCCAGACACCCACCCCTCCCCCAAGGAGCCAGGGAGCCCTGGCAAACAACTCTCTCTTCTTGGGGTAGAAGTCCCTCCTCCCTCYGTCACCTCCTCTCCATCCCTGAGGCCTCTGTCCTCAGGCAAACGGGGAGAAAGGAGAAGGTAGAACAAGAGGAAAGTGAGGAACTGGACACACAAACAAGGTCTCTTCTCGYACCCCCCTCCCCAGTGCGAGAAGAGAAGAAAGGACCTGGTCTGTGCAGGTCTGTCYTGCTCTGGGCCACCGCCTCCCTTCCTCACCTCATCTCTGGGCCAAGCGCCCACTCTCTCCCTCCTCCCAGAGTTTCATYGCCATCAGAGCAGAGCCCTAGGTGACCTGGGATTGGCCCCAGCAGCCATTAGATGGCAGGGGACACTTCTCCTTCCCTCTCCTCTGGAAGTGGCTGGCCTGTGGAGCCGGGTAGGAGCCTTGCCATCAGTTTCCAAGAAGAAAGCAAAGCTGAGGGAGGACTTACCATCAGGATCAATCKGCCCTGCCCCAGTGACATCCTGCCCGTGTTGCAGAGAAACAAGCAGGCTTGCCCGAGGTGACGCGTGGGCAGTGGGGCTCTGCCCAGTCGGCCCTACTGGGTCCATCTTCAGGGGCTCTGGGAACTTCTGCCTCAGGCCCAGGTGGGAGAAGTCTGCCCAGGGGTCACACTGGTGTCAGGCAAGGAGCTCTTGAGCCCACTGAGGGTGACCCAGAAGGAGGCCATGCAGGGCTGTGCTCTGCCCCCACCCATTGTGAGTCCCAAAGAGCAGACACCCTTGTGCCCAGATTGAATGAAGGGGGGGCGTGGAAGAGAAGAGATAAGGGGGGAATTAGAAGATAAGCAGGCCAAGCTCCAGGGAGAAAGCAAAGGGGTCACAGTGACCTGGCTGGCCCAGATCCGGGAGCAGACTCCAGACCTCAGACCCCAGGGTGGGGGCAGCCCTGCAGAGGGGCCCAGCTGGGAGACGGCAGAGATCAGCTCTCTGATGCCTACACTCCATGCCCCTGCCCCACTACGCGTCCTCTCTCGCCCTCGTTTACTGCTTTATGAGATGGGAGAAATAATCTTCCCCCTTCAGTTACAGAAAAACCTATGAACACAGCATGGGTCGCAAGGGGTTGTGTGAACCCACTGTCAACTCCCCCAAGGATGCCACTCAAGCTGGGCTCCCACTTACCCCCGGCCAAGCATTTTCCTGCCAGACTTCCACTTCTTCACTCAGATGGACCAATGGACACATAAAGACACCCAACTCCCAAATGCTCCCCACAATGTGAGCACACATAGGCACACCTGTACATGAGCACACATAGCCACACCTGCACACGGGCACACACACCTCTGTATTTAAAAGAAAACTAGCCAGGTGCGGTGGTGCACAGTCTGTAATCCCGGCAGCTCAGGAGGCTGAGGCAGGGGGATCGCAAGTTCAAAGCCAGCCTGAGCAAAAGCGAGGTGCTAAGCAATTCAGTGAGATCCTGTCTCTAAATAAAATACAAAATGGGGCTGGGGATGTGGTCCAGTGGTCGGGTGCCTCTGAGTTCAACCCCTGGTACCCCAAAAACAAACAAATAAAAACTTGAGTGAAACTCCATAAAAAAGCAGGTGGCCAAGAGCCTCACTCAGTCAAGGAGGGCTGGGGTCCCCTCTCCAGAGATTTCTTCCTAAACTCAAGGTCCCTCCTCCCTTACCCTTTAACCTCCCTTCCGCCCTCGGGACAAGGACATTTGCAGTCCCAGCCTCAGAGTCCCTTACCAGCCTAGCCCATCCATGGGCTCACCAGCCACCCACCCCTCCTGCTCTGGGCAGCCACAAATCTTCCCAGAGCCTTGACACCTTGCAGCCGGCTCTGGAGAAGGGCTATTTATGGGTGCCGGCTGACCTCTCCCCCAGCAGGCCTCCCTCTGGAGCCCCCTGGGGTCTGATCGGTCTGGCAGCCGAAGGCCAGCAGGCTCGGTAATTCTCGGGTGGCTGACATGCCCCAGGCTGGCCTGGCGCGCTCCAGGCCGAGTGGTCGGTGGGCCATCGTTTGTCAGCCGAGGACTGACAAGAGTTACTGCAGCTTAAATGAAACCATATATCTGGGCAATTAAATCTGTTGCCAATGGGGGCCTCGGAGCTGGACGTCAAGGGTGAACTGGTGTCAAGATGGGTCATTAGGCATCGTGGCTCTCCTCCCTCTCCCCGGTTCCTGTCTTGCACCCTCGCAGCCTATCCCTCACCGTAAYTGTCCAGGGCTGACTGCCTGGCTCCGGACCTGCCCCCACTGCACAGCGGGGAAGGGTGAGTCCCTGCTGCCTTGCAGGTAAGAAACTGCTTTACAAGCCCTGAGCAAGTCTGTAAAGACAGTGCTCAGAGGAGCGTGCATTCAGCATCTCTTACTCTGCTCCTCCTGGCCAGGCCTGGAGACCACCTGCAAGTGGGCAGTCAATAGCACAGTGCAGAGAGCAGAAAGGAAGAGCGCTGGGGAGCCCAACGACTGGGTTTCCTGAGCGCCAAGCCCTGTGTTGAGGTCTTCACCTACCCAGGCTCATTAAACCCSTATAACCACCCTCCCAGGTAGCTATTACCCACATCCCTCTCCTTTATAAATGAGGAAACTGAGGCCCAGAGAAGCAGAACTGCACAGCTTGGTAGTAAGCCCCYTGAGCCTGGTCTCTGGTCTTCACTTCTGTGCCACTGTCAGCTCCAACATGCTATGCTTGGGCAAGGTGGGAAAATGAGACAGAGGGACAGCCAATCAAGTGGGAAAGGGGACAGAGGAGGGAAAGTCCTAGAAGGCACCTGGGATCGTACATACCTGGGCCSCCAGCATCCCTGATGGTTCAGCTAAGACCCCAGGCTTTCCCCTGAGAAGCTGATTGGTCATCTGCATGGAGCCTTGGCTCTGGCTAGGAGCCCCTCCCTGGATGTGGGGCCCCAGCCAGTCCTGGCTGTCCATCATCTGCTGCCCAAGGGCCCACTCCTGGGTCGGGCTCTGCYGATGCTGCCAGCCCACTTCATGGGGTCACCTGGAATGCCCGGATGTCCTCACACTTTTATGGACTTTCCCCTGGGCTATTCCCATTTCTTGAACGTCCTTAGCATTCTCTGACTTATTTCTGGAAACCYCTGACTTCCTCAGATGTAGCCATCTTCTCTCTCACTAGACTTCTCAGTCCCTTCCCATCACTCTCGGAGCCCTGGGCACTCTGGGCACCCTGTATTGGCATTATCTATGTGCACTTCTGTCTCTTCCTCTAGCCTGGCAACTTTCTGGGTCYAATTCATTTCAATGTCCCCAACATCCATGATGCCCCAAAGCCATCCCTGGATGGCTCCGTTCCAGAGCCCCTCTTCTGTCTGCTGAGATGTGTTGAATGGTGAATCAAAGGGATACTAGGGCCATTCAGCACCCTTTTGCTTTTCTGCCCACTCACCCCTGGGTTCCGCAAACAGACACCACCCAGGGTCCACTGGAGCAGTGGGAAAGAACTTGATGTGGCAAACTAGAGGTTCTCCAAGGGCTGGGCTAGTGCTTATCTGCAAGGCTCCTTTACAGAGGTGGTGACTGTGGGCCATATTCCTGGGCTCAATACAAGATTCTGGGAAGGGGAAGCAGGAAGATTTGGGCCATAGAGAAGCCAGAGCAGGAAAAAACACTCAGCAAAGCTGGGACAAAGGCCCTTCCCATCCTGCGTGAAGCCCCGGGAGAGTAGGAAAGCGGCCAGAGGAAGTGCCCTGCCCCTGGATCCAGGCTGGGAATGCTCTGCTGCTCCTCCCTCTGCACAGGGGCTTATGGGAAGCCTGCAGSGGAAGCCAGAAACCAACCCCAGAGTCCTGGGTCCTCATCCCCCAGGGCCTCCAGCCAGGAGCAGAAAGCAGGTGGGAGTATCCCTGCATAAGGTCAGCCCAGAGAGGCCAGTAGAGGGGACTGGTAGACAGCCCATCCCATGGTAGACCCACTGCATGTCTCAGACCTTGGCCATGACAGGCCCTCCACAGTAGAAGCAGGAATCACCACCACAAATTCTTGACTCCCAGATCCCCCTAGGCCCCTAACGCCATGATGCTCCAGARGCTCTGAGTCCCCATGCCCCACCTTATTCCCATTCCTTGCCAGCCAGGGCAGGCAGTGCCCCCAGCCCATCCGGCCACATCTCCTGGAGGAAGCCCAGGCCTGAGTGGCGTCAGCACTGACAATGCTGCTCAAGGCTGCAGTGGCCCCAGCGGGGAGGGCAAAGGCTCTGCTGTTTATAACCAACCTCAGAACAGCTAGGGGGCTGACTTGGGAAAGGCTGTACCCAGACCAGGGAGAAAGGGACCTTGGCCAGGGTTTCAGGGGTCTCTGGGGAAGCCTCAGATGGAGCCAGGGCATTGGAGGGGCAACTCCCAAGCCTCAGGCCATTCACATCCCTAGGCAAAATGACTGGGAAGTTCTTCCCTATACCTGGCCTCAGTTTTCCTGCTGCTTTTCTGTTTACTTTAGCTTAGGTACTTTAACACCTGGGGGAAAGAAGCCCTTGAGGTAAAAGAAAGCTGCTTCATCTGGCAAGATCACTGACAGGCCCTGGGATCCCCCACCCATTCCTCTGCAGGCATACAAACACACAGACACACAGAAACACAGAACCAACCGTCGTGAGAGTTACAGGGGCAATGAGACCTTTCATCTTATTTAGGGTGGAGGAGGGCCCACAGGTATCCAAAACTCAGACACTAAGAGCCCATCCATGGCATATGCAACTGGTGGGGATTGGTAGCCTCTCTGAATGGGATGACAGGATGGGCTGGACCCCCTCCTGGCATTGGCCTGGGGGACATACGAAGAAGACCCAGTTAGTCTTTTGAGGGAGTCCAAGGCCTCAGAGAAAGCAGGAAATGCCTCCAGAAAACCCAGACTGGGAGAGAAACAGCCTCAGACTGAAGAGGCTGGAAAAACACAGAGGAGCAGAGAGACCACAGGCCTGGGGGTGCAGGGGGACATTAGCATGAGACAGAGACTGTGAGAGACAGAGACTTAGAAAACAAGGCCAGGGAGGGGAGGGAGTGAGCAGGGGTGAGGGACACTCAGGAGGATGTGGTAGACCAGAAATGCTCCTTAATGTCCCCAGGGGAACCTCCATGTCTTAACACTGCCTAAAACCAGTGGGCAGGATAGACCACTCAGGGGGCCACCAGGACAGAGGTCCAGGCAGCCTGGAGGCCACACCAGAGCCAGGGCCAACAGTAGTGGAGGAGGCACTCACCTCCAGCTCTTTGAACACCATACATCTGCGAGCCCAGTCCACGATGGAGATGAAGGTCTGGTCAGCCATCCTGCACAGGAGGCCGAAGGGTGCTGGCTGGTCGGGGCGGCCTTTGGCAGGTTCCTGCAGGCAGCCTACGATGCGTGCCCGCACCTGGTCCTCATCGGGCTCCAGCTGCAGCAGCTGTAGGATGAGCTCGGGCACACTGGGCCCTCCAGAGAAGGGCTCTGGGTAGCCATAGGGCGGCCCAGGCTGCGGGGGACTGGCATAGGGTTCTGGATACTCAGACTTAATGGCACGGCCAGGGAAGGCAGGGTAGAGGTAGCCGGCCAGTGGCCCATGGGTGCTGGGCATGGCCATGGGCAGTGCTGAGGCTCCAAAGTCGCCCAGTGGCCCAGTGGGTGGACCAGAGGCCAGGCCCTTAGGCTCAGGCGCGTGCAGGCTGGGGGTCAGCATGTAGTCCGGTGGGGGAGGGGGTGGCGGAGGCACCCCCATTGGGGGGCCTGTCTCCAGCTTGAAGCCATTGGCCCGAATCTGTGCCTTCTTCTGCTGCTTCAGGGCCCGGTCCCGCTTGTACATGGGCCCAAACTTGTTCCGGCCGCCCCGCATACGGTCAGCGCGCACGGCTGTGGGCAGGGGCAGAGGGTCAGGCTCCCCCCTCCACGCCACCTTCTACGCTGCTCTATCCTGAGCTAACTGTGTCCTTCCCCTGCCCAACAGCCTTTCATGACTTCCACAGGGGAAGACAATCATCTTAGCCTGGCATTCAAGGTCCTGCTCAATTTTCCARGTTATCCCTCAGAGGAACAAGTGTCCCTTCCACTTCACCTTACTCACCTCAGCAGACACTGCTGCTCGGCTTGACACTTTTCCCTCAGCCTCCACCCAGCTCCCCATCTTTAATAGTCCTTCTTCCTCAAAGCCTTTTCTTTCTCTTGTGCTTGCCAAACACCCAGCCTCAATGTCACCACCTCCAAGAAGTGTTCCTAGATTTGCCCAGGCAGACTCTCCTGTCCTTGGCCCCACAGTCCCACCCCTGGCCCACTCTTATCATGCTGWGTGTACCATGCCATATGCCCTATGCTGGGAGGTCCTGGGGACTCAGCTCTTAGTCTCTTGGTTCAGATGYCCAGTGCTGGGCCTGACAGGGAGACAGTGATAGGAAGGGGATCCTGTGAGTCTTCCTCACAGCGGGATGCCCAGTACGGACTAAATCCCAGACTCTTTGAACCCCAGTGGCAAGATGACTTGGGTTTCCCCTACTGACTTTGAATGTGAAGGCGGGTTTAGAGGTTGCTGGCTCTGTGATGGAGGCAGGGACCTCTCTTGCTAACCAGATGTTCTTCTGTCTAGCCAAGAATGTGTCACCAGCCAGACTCAACAGGTGCATCTCTGCAGCTGGAGTGTGGCCCCCGCCCCTGCTTAGACAGGATCCCAGCCCAGGCTCTAGGAGAAGGAAGAGATCAGGAGACAGAGGGCAGTGCTTAGCAGGAATGGAACCTCCCAGACGTCTTCCTGCCATACTTTCAGGCAGGCTGCCCTGTGGGCTTCGGCTGCCAGCAACAACCAGCTATTCTGGCCCCTCAGGACTTGGAGCTAGGGATGTAGGCTCTTGGGACAGGGCAGGGTATTCCCTTCCCCCGCCCCCGAAGCTAGGAGCTGTAGAACATGTGGTCTGCAGCTCTCAGAGCCTCTGGGGGTGGGGGCTTCTCCTTGTTCAGAAACTTCAGCCAACAGCTGCTGACTGGGCGCATAGCCCAGCTGGGGCCATGGGGTGGAAGCTACTCGTGTCCACCCTTGGGTCTCTCCTTCTGGGACATCTTTTTTCCTCTCTGGACTGCAATGGGGGTAGGGGTGGGGGCAGAAGAGTCCTRCGTCCTCTGGGGAAATTGTTACCTACTCCTCAGCCCTCTCAGGGCTGGATAGGAACAAGATAGGAAGGAATCTCACCCTCTGGAGTGAAAAAAACCAGTGATCCCTGGGTGGTGGTGGATAAATAAAAGGAGAAGGCATAAGAATAAAATAACAATAGTAATAATAGCTAACCTGTGAGTGTTTACTGTGTACCAGGSACCTTAGACTTTCCGTCACTTCTCTCAAACCTCACACTAACTCAGGGAGGGAGGGAGGCACTACTATTAATCCCATTTTAAAGTTGGGGAATCTGTAGATCATAGAAGTTAAGGAATTTAACCCAGTGCCTGTAAGTGGTGTCACTGGGACTCGAACCAGACAAGGGCATTGAAAGCCTTGACTCTAGCTGGGGTGGGGGCTCGAGCTTCTTCAGGGRGAGAAGCACTGCTGGGGCTCTGTCTATGTTGGGGACCCTGGGCTGCCGAAAAGGCGTCTCCCTGGAGTTGAGTTTAACGCAACCCTGGCTGGTTCTGCATGAACTCCCTCCCCCAGGACTTAAGCCCAACCCCTGCCTGTCCTCTCACTCCCTTGAAGAGACCAGGCCCTAAGTCAGGCTAGGGGCCAATCGCCTGGCCCCTAAAACTTCGAGAAGGCCAGTGATGTCCTCTCTTCAGCTACCTTTCCCAGCCCCACCCTCTGCTCCCTCGGGCGGTCAGAAGTCAGGGGTCGGAGTCCCGCGGGGCGCGCACCTTCCAGGCGCATCCCCACCGTCAGGCACTTCTGGAAGCGGCAGAAGGGACAGCGCTTGCGCTGCGTCTTGTCGATCTTGCAGCTCTGGCTCTCCGTGCACGTGTAGTGCTTGTTGTTCTGCACAGTGCGCTTGAAGAAGCCCTGAAAGAGAGGGGAGTCAGTGTGGGAGCGATGGACCCTCTGCCCAGAGCGCGCGCCGGCCTCCGCCGCGCCCTACACACCCTTGCCGCCCGCCTGCAGACTCACCGCTCACGCGCTCACCTTGCAGCTCTCGCACGTGAGCAGCCCGTAGTGGTATCCGGACACCTTGTCCCCACACACTGGGCACAGCTCATCCAGGTCCTCGTCGTACGAATAGTCCATGCCCGCGGCGTCCGCCTGAGGAGAGAGGAGAGGGTCACCACGGGCCGACGGCGAGGGGCTGCGGCTGGTCTGGCCAGGCGGATCTCGCACCCCGCGGCGGCCGCACCCACAGCGCCCGCTGCGGTACCCCTGGCCGCGTCCAGGTGAAGGGGGCGGCGGCAGGACCCACTGCAGCGCTCAGGTGGCCTCGCAGCATGGGCCCAGCCCGAGTGTGGGTCCCGCGCTCCCGCCGCGCGGCTCCTCCCGCGCCGCCGCTGCCGCGCCCGATCCCGGACCCTCGGATTCGATGCGCTTCGATCCGGATTCGTTTGTCTGAGAACAAAACCCCGATTCTGAGAAAAGGAGACAGGCTCCGGCGCGGGTGAAACAGGAGCCAGGGAGCCCGGGCAGAGTGGGGCGAGCGGCCCGGGTGTGCTGGGAACCCGACAGAGACGAAGGAGGCAGAGACAGTCTGGGAGAGACAGAGAGACCCGCCGGAACGAGCGCGATACCCCCGACCGACGCTGCTCACGTAGAGAGAACCCGGGCGACGGGGACACACCGATGCCGAGTCAGGAAAAAAGCCTAGGGAGACGAGATAGATAGAGAGATGATAGATGGATGGAAGGAWGGATGGATGGATAACGAAAGAGACCGAATCACAGACACCGAGAGAGAGAGGCCCAGAGACAACCCGGGAGAAACACATGCACAGTCGGAGAGACAGTGATAGACAAGAGACAGGCCGAGAGACGAGAGACACCGGGGAGACGGGGCAGAGAGAGTGACAGAGACGCGGAGAGAAAACCTGGGGAGACGGAGGCGCCCAGCAAGAGGGTCGGGGACTTGGAGACGCGCCGGAACCCAGARCCGAGCTCCGAGGCGTGGCCCCGCAGAGTCGGACCGCCAGGGGCCCGCGTCCAGAGGTGCGGAAAACCACGGCGCCAGGGACCGAGAGCCCGAAAGCGCTGAGCTGCCCGGGACTGCGGGCCAGGGGAGACAAAGCCGGTGGCAGCGACGGCAACCGGAGGCGCGGCTTGCGCGGCCGAGACCGAGTCGTCGGACGGAGAGACGGCGAAGAGGGCGCGGCGGAGACCGCCGGCGCCGGGCGCGGAGACCTCGGGCGGAGGTCCCGTAGGCTCTGGGAGGCCGGGCCGGAGATGGGGGCGACCTCGGGCGGAGAGTCACAGTCCCAAAGAGGGAGCGCGACGGCGGCCGGCGCCCACCTCGCGGCTCCTGCGAGCAGCGCTCCGCGTCCAGCCCGCGCGGAGACCCGCACCTCCCGGCCGCGCCGCCGCCGGCGATGAGCCGCACCCGGGCGCAGCGCCGCCCGCCCGCGATGACGGCCGCTCGGGCCGGGGGCGGGGAGGCGGGGGCGCGGGGCTGGCTGCGCTGGGCCTCGGCGCTCCCCCCACCGCCTCCCCGCCCCCGCCGCCTCCGGGGCCGCTCGAGGCGCACCTGGGACCCGGGCCCCTCTGCCGCCACTGCGCGCTGCGCGAACCCGCCGCGCTGGGCCAGGGGCCGGGCGCTCTATATGGGCGCGTGCGGTATCCGGGGGCGGAGGCCCGGCGCGCGTCCTCCCCACAGCCCGGCCTGTGCCCTGCCCTCCCCCCAGCTTGCTCGTGGCTTCACCCTCATCCTCTCGGGCCCCCCATCCCCAGCCAGGCCCCCAGAAGCTCTCGAGCTACGAGAGAACGGCGGAGTCCCAGCGCCCCAGAATCCAGACAGGTGTCGAGCGCTGAGGTGCCTCTGGCGGTGGGAGGAGGCGAGCTCCTGTTTGCAAGTCCAGCTTAGTCGTGGCCAGGGCCAAGCTGGGGACGCTGGTGGTTCTGCAGCTTGGAAGTGGGTAAGGGCGAGCGTGGGGGCCTGTGGCCAAGGCATTAGTTCAAGGCTAGAAACCGTCTGGTGTTTGCCCTGCCACATTTCCTCACTTGGGCGGTAAGTAACCTTCTTCAGTCCTCAGTTTCCTCATCTGTGAAGTGGGATGATGACTGGCCTTCCTGGAGGGTGGTTGTAAGGATGGACCGAAATGCAGCTGGCGAAGCACAAGCCCGGCACGGCGGTGTCTCTCTACAACGCCCAGCGGGAGACCTGGGGCAATCCCCTTCTCTGTGAACCTCAGTTTGCCGGCAGGAAATGGGAATCTTGGGAATGCACCTCTGCGAGATTCCAAGGTCTGGTGAGCACTCAGAGCCTCCAAGGGCTCGGGGGCTGGGAGAGCGGAGCTGGAGGTGGGCGACAGGCACCCCCACACCCCTCGGAGCTCTAGYCCAGGCAGAGGGCGGAGGAAGAGAGCTGGTGGAAGCCTGGGGGACAAAGGGAGCCCTGGCCGGGATGGGCAGATCAATTGCTCAGGGTTGGGGAACTCCACGGGGCCACTCCCGTTATCAGGTGAAGAAACTGAAGCAGGAGGGAGAAAGAGGCCTGCACAAAGCCCGCCCCTGGCCCCTCTGGCACCTGGGGTCTGAGGCTGGGGACCCTGAGGCCAGAAAGCTGCAGCTTCAAGAGAGGAAGACCGCAATTTGCATTGGCAGAGATGCTACCGACCAAAAAGTTTCAGGGCCACTATGGTGGCCTCAGGTTCCTGCAGGAGCTGGCACCATGGTCCTGAGAGCCTAGGCCTGAAGCCCATGCAGACCACCCCTCGCCTTGCTCACCCCGCAGAGTGAGGAGCAGAGTCTGCGGTCCGCTTGCCAGCAAGTCACTTCATTCATCTKAGCCTCAGTTTCTCCGTATGTAATAAGGAAAGCCCGGCCCTCCAGATGGAGTGCTGTAGTTTCCATCAGATTCCATGGACATATCTTGGTGCGGAGGGAGGAGAGAGAGCCAGAGAGGAGTTAGTGGTAGATCCCCACCTTGAGCCCCTGAGAAACTGCAGTCTGTGTCGGGCCTGGAGGCCGGAGGTGGGGGTTTGGGGGAGCTTTTCTGCCTCTGAACAACCTCCACTCAGAGAGGAGCCCTCTGCCCTCTGGCAGTGGAACTCAGCAGCACCCACCAGGCTGCAGGGAGTGGAGGGGAGTGGGGGATGGGCTSCCCAGGGGTAGTGGGCTTCTGTCGGGTAGAGCCCACCTGGGCTGTTGAGGAAGGCCCAGCAGCATAGCGCAGTCTGGGCTGGGGGCCGGTGGGGTGGGAGGCTGGGCTCTGAGCCAGCTCTCCCCTTCTGCCWCCATCTCAGCCCCCCTCCCCCTGGGCTCTACTACCTCAGGCTGGGAGCCGGTGGCTCACTGCACCCACCCTGCCCCTGCCCCATGTAGGAACTCACAGCCTGTTACCCACCTACCCAGGAAAGCAAAGCAGACCCTGTGCCAGCCGCAGAACCTGGACTGACAAATAAACACTGGAGACAGACTCACACATACACAGAGGCTCAGAGACCTCCATAGAGACCACACAGACGCCCAGACAGGAGACCCAGAGACCCAAGACAGGCCCAGAGACCTCACAAGACCCTCAGACTGCTAGGCTCCCACCAACACACCGATGTGAACACCCGGTCAACACTAGATAGCGGGACACCCACAGACCCCACAGCGCTTGTCGCCATAGGCCTGGCTCCTCCCATCAGCGGCCCAGTGAAGAAGAGAGGGTATCTTACTGAGGTGGGGAGGTCTAGAGAGACCTCTAGCCCCTTCCCCACCCAGAGAAGTGAGCACTGGTCACTCCACAGAGCAAGTTGTGGCCGGCCTGGGCCACAGGGAGGCACTGAGGAGGGAGGCTGGCCATTAGAGGCCTGGGCCCAGGCCCTCACTTACGGAGCGGAAGAAGAGTTCTCAAGCCGGATGAGGGTGGACAGTGGGCACCAGGGTCGGGGGGAGGCTCTGGAAACMCAGGTGAGGCAGTGGTGACGGTGGGCACGCAGGAACTCCTTCACACCACTGCGGGCGGCGGGCGGGCGGCAAGCTGGCCCTGTCCGTTCGTCCTCCTCCTCCTCCCCGCCCTGGGGGGGGCCACCAGAGGCCCAATTGGTCTCTGCCCCCACGTGACTCTGCAGGCCTCCTCTCTCCTCCTTTGTTGGTGTTTCTCTTCATTTAGGTCTATTTTTTTCTCTTCTCCTAAAAGAAAAAAAAAATACCCCTATCTATCTGGGGGCCGAGGGTGGGGGTGGAGGCCAAGGTACTCTAGAGGCCTTGGCCAGCTGGCCGTTCCAGGCCGCTGTGGGAGCCCAGAGGCAGGGACCCCACGTAAGCGGGTAGGCAGCCYGCTTGTTAGTGACTGGGTGGGAGTGGGATCTGATTTATGAGCTCCTTCCCCACCCTGCCTGCAGCCTGGCCTCTCTCCCCTTGAATGGCTTCCTCTCTGGGTCCTGGCCTGGCGCGGTCCAGCTTGGTCCAGACATGGGAGCAGAGTCAGCATGGGCCAGTGTCAGGTAGCGGCATGGACCACTTGACCAGGTAGATAGACAAGATAGACCAGGTGGGCAGCAGCTCCGGTCTGGTCTTTACTCTTCTAGAAGATGGAGGAAGGAAGACAGGCTGGAAGGCAAGCAGAGGAGCTGACTGAACACCTTTCAGTTTGATGTCACCCCTAAATGTTCTCATCTACCGTGAGCCAGGGGTATTCCCCGTCAAAAGCTGGGGAGACTGAGGTGGGGCTGAGACTGCTTTGGGGGGCAAGTAATTGGCTCCAGTGACCCCGGGATGGTCTGGTTTGATAACTAGGCTAGAACAGGGCAGAGTAGGGGGAAGGCCAGGCCTCCCCATACAGCCTGGATGTCCCTGTCTACTCTCCTGGCCCAGGCAGGTCCTGCACTGTCCTGGTCCTGTCAGGCCCAGATTGCTGGGCCCTGCACCTGTCCCAGATATGACACGTTCTTCTGTGCATTCCTCCTTCATCTCAGGATGACGGCATGCTCCAGGGGCCAGGCATCTTTGCAGGCACAGGTCACAGTTAAGAACAGGGACGAAGCCTCTATCCTCAGAGGATTTACCTTCCAGCCACTGTTCCGGTGGGTGGGGAGGGGCGCAGGGCACCCCAGGGCAATCACGGCTGGGAACTCCCTCCATGCTCCTTCCATCTTCATTTGAAAAAATGGGCAAATCATGCCAGGTACCTCTCTTACCTGGCTTGGGATGAGGGGGATTTTTCTGGAGCCAAACTATATTTAAAACTGAGTGTGTCTTTTCCTTATTATTCCTGTCATTAAAAAAAATGTGAACACATAATTTTAATGTCATGACTTATTCTGAGTACATATATTCTAATTCTACCTACATCAGAACTGATTCCTTAACATGCATGACCACATGTCTTTTTCACCATAAATGTTCTTACAGGAGATACTTCCCTTGCCTATGTCTGGAACCTAAAACTAATCCTCCATTTTACTTTATTTCATTTCATTTTATTCCTAATTTTATTTTTAATTTTTTTCCTATTTCAATGCAAGGATTTTGTTTTTTTTGTTTTGTTTTGTTTTTGTTTTTTGTTTTTTGGGTACTGGGGATTGAATTTAGGGCCATTCAACCACCAAGCCACATCCCCAGCCCTATTTTGCATTTTATTTAGAGACAGGATCTCACTGAGTTGCTCAGTGATCTTTCTGCCTCCACCTCCCAAGCCACCTTGGGGATTATGCGAGTGTAATCCCAGGGGCTGCCGCCACAGCCTCCCTCCCTCCCTTTCTCCTCCTCCTCCTCCTCCTCCTTTTTTTTTTTTTTTTTTTTTAGTACCAGGGATTGAACCCAGGGGCACTTTATCAGGGAGCCACATCCCCAGCCCTTTTTATCTTTTTTTTTTAATTTTGAGACAGGGTCTCACTAGGTTGTTTATATCCTCACTAAATTGCTAATACTGGCTTTGAACCTGTGATTCTCCTGCCTCAGCTGCCAGAACTGTTGTGATCACAGGTGTGCACTACTGTTCCCAGCCCTGCCTTCTTGATCAGGACAAATGGGTCTTTTAATGCTGGGATAATATGGAAAGAACCAGCCTTGCTTTGCCATCGTGTCGTGTCGTGGTGAGTCCTTGAGCTACAAGAAGGGGAATTGGTAGCAAACTCTGGATTAAATCCCAGTTCTGTCACTTTCTGGCTGTGTAACCTGGGACCAGTCACCTCCTTTCTGTGCCTCATGTGTTCCTTGCACAATGGGGACAAAATGAGACAGCATGTGTAACATACTCAGTGGCTGCCTGGTCTGTCATGTGTGCTCAGTAAATTCCAGAAAAACACAAACAACTAGCTGAAGGTCTGGCTGCTCTGCCTTTAGAGGCCTTTTCTGTGTTGAGTCTGCCATTGCAACATCCCCACAAACATCGCTTGCCCTTCTGATGGGGTGACTCACTCGGCAAGGGGATCCCTCAAGGAAGGGCCTGATCTACCTCTGGGTCTGGAGCAGCCAGCCCAGGGCAGCATGGGCTAGCTCTTAATGACTGCTGCCCTCATCAAAGGCCTGCATGCTTGATGTAGGTATTGGGTATAGGGCTCTATGACCTCCATGCTGTCTCCTCTGTAGACAACAGCTGTCACTTGTCACCTGCCACCATGCAGGCTGGATGCTCCTCATCCCCTATTCAACCCTGGATATCTTTACTGACATCTTTACTTCCTGTGGGCTACCCATCTCCCACCTATACTGGCCCTCACTCATACTGGGTGCTCCATGGGGACAGGTAGGGGGGCCGACGGGTTGACAGCTGGAACTCAAAAGCACCCCCTATGTGCTAGGTGCCCTTGGAATGACTGAAACCCTCTCCACCATCCTGAAAGGTGAGCAATATTTTCTGCTCACCACCATGAGCCCCGTGAGACGACCTAGCAGAGAGACAGGCATATTTCCAAAGTCACAAAGCAAGAAGTGATGGGCTCGGCATTCAAATCCAGGCAGTGGGGATCCAGAGCCTGCCTAGCTTCTAGGCTCAGGCTCCTCTTCACTCTGGAGCCCTGGGTGGCCTGTCTATTTGCCTTTTCCTTCAAACTCCAACCAGGTGGTCCCAGGCCATGAGACCTACCGGAGGGGAGGGAGCAGGGATGTAGTCCTGACTTAGGCTCTTCCCTACTTCCCCCTCCCCAGGCAAACAAAGCCCAGGGTCTCTCTCCTGAGTGGGGATTTCCCAAAGTGCCAGGCTCATTTCCTGGAGGTGGACTAAAGAACAAATAAATCAGAGACCCAGAAACTGAAACAGAGGGGAGCAGGGTAGATTCATTGGGTGGCAATTGGAATACAGTGAAGAAAGAACCAGAAAGAGAGAGAAGCTATGGCGAGACAGGCAAAATACGAGATGAGTGAGGGAGAAAAGGAAGACCCCTGATAACAAAAAAGACCCTCATGGGCAGGGGTGGTGGCTCAGCAGCAGAGCACTTGCYTAGCAGGTGTGAGGCACTAGGTTTGATCCTCAGCACCACATAAAAATGAAATAAAATAAATAAAGATATTGTGTCCATCTTAAAAAAAAACTTAACAATAAAATAAAGGTATTATGTCCATCTATGACTAAAACAAATTAAGAAAAATAAAACAGACCCTGGAGGTCAGGGACTAGGGATGAGAAAGAAGAAATTCAGAGGGACAGAGAGAGGAGAAATGTAGGAGAAAAAGAGAGAAGAGATGAGAGGGAAACAAGACAGAGATGGAGACTCCGGCAGAGAATGAGAAGAGAGGGGCAGGGGCCCAGAGGGAATGTGGACATGGAGACCCTGTTCAGGGTAGTGGAGGGGGCGGGCCTGTTGGCAGCAGCAGAGACTGTTTCCGCTGCACCCCTTATCAGCCTTCTGCCAGATGTTCAGATCCGATGCCAATGTCAGAGAAGTCCATAGTGCTGGGTCAAGGCCGTGGCCAGCGGGAGCCTCAGCTGCAGTGTGGGGAGGGAGGCGGGGGGCCTGCCCTAGACCTGCTTGCTCTTCCCCCTCCTCCTCGTGGCTCTCCAGGCTGGACCACCTGGTTGGGGGTGGGAGACACCAGGTACCTCTGGGGGTTACTTCTCTAGACTGAGAACGGCCCCCGTGGAGGCTGCGTGGGGCTCCTAGAAACATGTGGACACATACACCTCTACACAGACTCATGCTCAAGGAAGCATGTGGACATAGGCCCACAGACACTMGCACAGGAGCACACAATACCACATGGGGACAATTCACATTCCAGTGCAGAGCTGCACCCCCTCCCAGCATGACTCTACAGCCTGCTGCTGTCCCTGCTCTGCTTGGTCAGCATGGTGTCCTCCACCCACCTTGTCCCCTCACCCAAGCCAAGACTGTGAGGAGCCAGGCAAGAGCCTCTCTGTGGCTGGCACTGCTTCTGGGACCTGCTTTGCTCTTCTATGAACGGGCATGCTCAGAACCTGCACATCCTCAAAGGCAGGTCCAAGGGACCTGAGACCTTTTAGAATGAGGCCTGGTGGAGCCCCCAGGGGAGAAGCAGGTGTGGGCCGTCTGGCAGGGCTGGGCTCCAGCCTTGGGCCTCCCCGCCAGGCTCCTGGAGTGTGCAGCACAGCTGGGGCCCTCTTCCTTGGGTAGCTTATCTCATGTGCACACGCTTGGCCCTCAAGGGGTGACCCAGCCTTGCTCCCCACATTCTTGTTCAGCCACGCAGCCGGTGGGCCCCCCACATCCCTGAGACTGTGTCTGTACTTGGGGGGTGGTCAGGAGCCACCACTCAGAGTCATGTCCCTGCCCTCTTGGCCCTGGCCCCTTGTAGAGGTGGCTCTGGTATCTCTTCACTGTCTCTAATTTTGTCTCTGTCATGATGGCTCAGTCACTGTTTATTCCTGCATATCTCTCTTAGATTGTCCCAATTTCTCTCTTTCTGCTACATTCAGTCATTTAGCTCTTTCTCTTTGCTCTTAGGGTCCACTCAGGAAAGTGGAGGCCTGTCATGGGAGAACTGGGGTGGCTGGGGCAACATAAATTCAGGGCCCCTCCCACCCACCTGCTAGGAGTTGGCCTGGATAAGGATGTGKATTGGGATCTGGAGCTGGTGGACTCCCC